TACACCGAAAATAGCCAGCGTAAACGCTACATTAAGATTCGACATCAAGTTCACTGATGGACGTTCAGTCTACTGGCGCTAAGACCTCTCTTTTTCCCTTTTGACCACTACAGATCAATTGACTCTGTACTATAGTGTTAATTTGTGGTCTTTCACCCATAACTAGAAAACCTAACCTAAACAAAATGACGAAGGTACTCGATCCTGCTTAGCCAAGGGCTAAGAATCAAAACCTTCAAGAGCTCGGCCAGGCGAAATCGAACGAAAAACTACTTTTAAGGGTCGCTAACTCATCTTTTATGTGCGCGTGGTGACGCCACAAGGTCCGATCATAAAACCATTACAAACAAAAGTAAACATTAGTGAGCACTTTGGTATCTAAAATATAGGGATATACAGACAATTATCAACTAATCAAAATAATCCTTTTTCTGGTGTCCTTGACAGGTAGTGTGGCAAAATGTGACGTTAGCAAATATTCCCTAAGCTCGATTACAAATATGGAGAATACTTCAAGTATTTGCATGCAAAAATTGAAATATCGTTTCACACATTTTCTGAAGGACCTCAAAGTACGCAAAATAATATATTCCGACCTGATCGATCGTTATTGCATTTCTACTGTGACCGTCTTTCCCTTATTCTCAGGCTAACTGCTCATTGAGCGAGTTCAGGTTCAGGGACACAACGGCTTAGTTAATAAAAACAAGAGCGTTACCTTTTTGTTACAAAAATACACAAGGAATAACTAGAGATTCTGCACTATGATTGGCTAAGATAAGAACACGTTCAATGATGCTTATTTATTATCTACGCGGTGGCCTCATGGTTAGTGCGCTCGTCTCCGGATCCAGCGGTCCGGGCTCGAGCCCTGGCCGGGGAAATTGTGTTCTGTTCTTGGGCAAGACACTTTACTCTCACAGTGCCTCTCTCCACCCAGGTCTATAAATGGGTACCGGCGAACTTAATGCTGGGGGTAACCCTGCAATGGACTAGCATCNGTACCGGCGAACTTAATGCCGGGGGTAACCCTGCGATGGACTAGCATCCCATCCAGGGGGGAGTAGGAATACTCCTAGTTGCTTCATGCTACAGAAACCGGGATAAGCTCCGGCCTGGTGGGCCTCTTGGCTCGTATGCAGACTTTACCTTTTTTTACTTAACAACTACCACTGGCCTCATGGTTAGTGCGCCGCCTCCGGATCGAGCGGTTCGGGGGTCACATTGCTGGAGTAACCTGCCAGAATTATGAGTAACCGTCGATTGACTAGTGTCCCATCCAGAGGGAAGGGGATAGTAGAACTGTACTCCTTGCTGTTTTATGCTAAAGCAACCGGAGTTACCCTACCCTCCGAGTGCTAGCTATGATCCAGTTCGGCTAAATAAGATTTACTTTTTTGTATCACCTATTTTAAAAAAATAGTAATATGACTTCAGAGTATTAGTAATATGTTTTCAGAGTACCCATTCATGTAGTCAATTCGATTGGTTCAGTGTTCTAATATGAAAAAAAGGTAATTTTAAATGACTTCAAAAATTTCAAGTTTCTCAACAAAAAGGACTTTGCACTGATAACTAATTCAGTGGCAAAATTGGTCTTTAATTTACACATGTAAAAAGTCAAGAATGGTTCTAGCTACGTTTCCACTTGAAATATCTTTTGCTGTCGCTGTTATTTCCGTTCTACCAAAATACATGCTGACTTCAATTTTTCTATCGTTACCTCTCCAAGTGTCGGGGGACTGAACCGTAACACTACCAATCTTCGTCATTCCGGGATCCGTGACATATTCGGCATCAGGATCGCTGGTAGCATAAAAGGAATATGTTATTTTCGTGCTGGCTGCACGAAGTGGAGAGTAAATTCTAGTAATTTTCTGACCAGTTCGTACTGTGTCATTCTCTCTCACGAAAAGATTGAACAGATCGTTACAATTCTCAATGCCATCCGCAACAAACTTCTTTTCTTCACGATGAACGCCTTGGATAAAATTCCGTGAACAATCCGCCCCATAAGTTGTGCGCACCACTCTTTCCGTTATTTTCGAAGGCTTCTTGCCAAACATCACGGCACCTTGAACGACTGCAATAGCTGCATGATTGGGGATCAGCACTCTGAACTTTCTTGAAAACTCACTCTTAATTTCTTTCTGAAGAAGAGCAGAATCGGCAAACCCTCCAACCAGAAGCATTGTTTTCACCTTTGCCAGCTGTGGATTTCTCTGCAGGGATCTCAAATGTTTCTTAATGTCCTCAATTACCGGAGCAAACAATTTTTTCATTACCTCTGAACTGAGAGCGAGATACTCATTATTTTTCAGTTTAATATCTTTCTCACCGTAGCGTGATCTCCAGC